AGACAGATACACTTGAAAAAGTCTTAAAACTCTTAAATCGATCTAATCCCAAATTAAGACACATGTTTTGCCTAATTTCAGCATTTTTAGACTATTTTCTCATCACTTTTCACTCTATGTTCTGCTCTGGCCCTCACAGAACGCTCCGGGTCGAATCTCTCTGATCTGTGACATCATAGCTAGACCCCGCCCCCTTGTCAATCAGCACAAACCACAAAAACAACCCAATATTATTAAAAAAATGACTTTATGCCAAGTGAGAATACGGACTTTGTGGACACATTCGTAACAGCGCAGCCGTACAGAGAACCGTCAATAATGATCTTTAGAAAGAAACACAATCCTAGAAGAACACAACCCAAGGATCCTGTCGCACAAACCCAACATGAGAACAAGGCTTTCCTGGTTATCAGCCAGAAAATGGAGTAAAAATGTATATCAAAAACTCCCAGACATTTCCCTCTAATCTGCATCGTAGAGAGGGAGGAGGAGACTTTGTTTTAAAATGACGTATATTCAAAGTGGTAACCATGGAAACGGTGAGATCCTTCCATTCAGTCGTCAAAAAACAGCATATAAAAATATACAGCAATGCAGAGGTTTGAACCGGGCCACGCGGGAAAAGGTGAGATTATGAGCCTTTGAAAGTGAAAGTAAAAGTGCTTTTGTACCTGTGCTAAAAGTTTATTTCATACAATTTATACAAAATAAAAACTGAAATATTAAATGAGATTCGAACTGAACTCATTTGAAACGAAATCTGATATTTGATGTTTTTGATGTTAAGAGAGAGACCAGAGAGAGACCAGAGAGAGACCGGAGAGAGACCAGAGAGAGACCAGAGAGAGACCAGAGAGAGACCAGAGAGAGACCAGAGAGAGACCAGAGAGAGACCAGAGAGAGACCAGAGAGAGACCGGAGAGAGACCAGAGAGAGACCAGAGAGAGGCCAGAGAGAGAGACCAGAGAGAGAGAGAGAGACCAGAGAGAGACCAGAGAGAGATCAGAGAGAGAGACCAGAGAGAGACCAGAGAGAGACCAGAGAGAGAGACCAGAGAGAGACCAGAGAGACACCAGAGAGAGAGACCAGAGAGAGAGACCAGAGAGAGACCAGAGAGACACCAGAGAGACACCAGAGAGAGACCAGAGAGAGAGACCAGAGAGAGACCAGAGAGAGACCGGAGAGAGACCAGAGAGAGACCAGAGAGAGACCAGAGAGAGACCGGAGAGAGACCAGAGAGAGACCAGAGAGAGACCAGAGAGAGGCCAGAGAGAGAGACCAGAGAGAGACCAGAGAGAGAGACCAGAGAGAGACCAGAGAGAGATCAGAGAGAGACCAGAGAGAGACCAGAGAGAGACCAGAGAGAGACCAGAGAGAGACACCAGAGAGAGAGACCAGAGAGAGACCAGAGAGAGACCAGAGAGACACCAGAGAGACACCAGAGAGAGAGACCAGAGAGAGAGACCAGAGAGAGACCAGAGAGAGACCAGAGAGAGACCAGAGAGAGACCAGAGAGACACCAGAGAGAGACCAGAGAGAGACCAGAGAGAGAGACCAGAGAGAGACCAGAGAGAGAGACCAGAGAGAGAGACCAGAGAGAGACCAGAGAGACCAAAGAGAGACCAGAGAGAGACCAGAGAGAGACCAGAGAGACCAAAGAGAGACCAGAGAGACCAAAGAGAGACCAGAGAGAGACCAGAGAGAGACCAGAGAGAGACCAGAGAGAGACCAGAGAGAGACCACTGTGTCTGTTTGATTTTCTGATCCGTGTCGACGAATCGACAACTTGGTAAAGTCCTTTTACGAGGCTAAAAACATAGAATAGAATTGTTGTGATGAAAAACAGTTAAACATTATTTATTAGAAATTTAAAGCTGCTGAACCTAAAGTTTTGTTTCGAGACGGAAATGTTGTTTGTCGCAATAGAAAAAGTGTGAGAAATGTGTTTATTGTGGATAAATCCGCCGTCATCTCCCCAGGTCATTGTGCTGACGTGATCCAACAGTCCCTGTGAGTCACTATTTGACCCTTTGGGCTCAGACAGAAGAATTAGATTTTTACATGAGCTTTGAAAATAGAGACCACAGCTTTAAGTCTCGCACCAAATGTTAGTGCTATAAGAACCAAGTGGAACTCTGAGGAGCACAGGGACTGGCCTCCTGCTAAGACTGAGGAGCACAGGGACTGGCCTCCTGCTAAGACTCTGAGGAGCACAGGGACTGGTCTCCTGCTAAGACTGAGGAGCACAGGGACTGGCCTCCTGCTGGGACTCTGAGGAGCACAGGGACTGGTCTCCTGCTAAGACTGAGGAGCACAGGGACTGGCCTCCTGCTGGGACTCTGAGGAGCACAGGGACTGGCCTCCTGCTGGGACTCTGAGGAGCACAGGGACTGGCCTCCTGCTAAGACTCTGAGGAGCACAGGGACTGGTCTCCTGCTAAGACTGAGGAGCACAGGGACTGGCCTCCTGCTGGGACTCTGAGGAGCACAGGGACTGGTCTCCTGCTAAGACTGAGGAGCACAGGGACTGGCCTCCTGCTGGGACTCTGAGGAGCACAGGGACTGGTCTCCTGCTGGGACTCTGAGGAGCACAGGGACTGGCCTCCTGCTGGGACTCTGAGGAGCACAGGGACTGGCCTCCTGCTGGGACTCTGAGGAGCACAGGGACTGGCCTCCTGCTGGGACTCTGAAGAGCACAGGGACTGGTCTCCTGCTGGTCCCAGAGTCAGGACTAAACATGGGGAGACAGTGTTTCAGATTTATGCAGCTAAAAACAGTCTTCCAGAAAACGTGAGACGGGCAATATTCAAATCCAGGTTAAAAACAGATTTAATCCTGACTTTCTGATTTAAAGCCTTGTCTTGTGAGTTGCCGTGTGTGGACTGTGCTATACCAATAACCTTGCCTAATGCTAAAGGGTTATGAACATATGACATCAGTGACTTTTCCGCGTGGCCTCGCACCAGCATTTTTGTGTTACAATTTGAGTAAACTTCTGAACCATCAAACGACAGAATAAAAATAACATATGTACATGTAGATACGGATACAGGTGTAAAAAATAAAAGAATACAGAATACATACAGGTGAACAGAACCATGAACAGAACCATGAACAGAACCATGAACAGAACCATGAACACGCTCAGAGCAGAGGAGTCATTCTGTGTCCGTCCTAAAAACAACAAAGTTCACAATCTGGTCCCAAAGAGTTCCATCCACATGGACGGCGTGCTCCGGTGTCTGGCTGTGACTGCCCTTCCTCTGATTGGCTGCGTCCGTCCTGAGAAAAGGTACTTGTAGAAGAAGAAAGCAGTTTGTTGCTGGGGGACGTGAATGCTTCTCGGGCACAAGACGCCATTTTGTGTCCACGGAAATCACAGTTGCATCTTTTTGTTTTCCCCCCGTTTGGATTGAATGGTATAGACCAGGTGAGAGACCAGGGGAGAGACCAGGGGAGAGACCAGGGGAGAGACCAGGGGAGAGACCAGGTGAGAGACCAGGGGAGAGACCAGGAGAGAGACCAGGGGAGAGACCAGGTGAGAGACCAGGGGAGAGACCAGGAGAGAGACCAGGGGAGAGACCAGGTGAGAGACCAGGGGAGAGACCAGGGGAGAGACCAGGGGAGAGACCAGGGGAGAGACCAGGGGAGAGACCAGGTGAGAGACCAGGTGAGAGACCAGGGGAGAGACCAGGTGAGAGACCAGGGGAGAGACCAGGGGAGAGACCAGGTGAGAGACCAGGTGAGAGACCAGGTGAGAGACCAGGGGAGAGACCAGGTGAGAGACCAGGGGAGAGACCAGGTGAGAGACCAGGTGAGAGACCAGGGGAGAGACCAGGGGAGAGACCAGGGGAGAGACCAGGTGAGAGACCAGGGGAGAGACCAGGGGAGAGACCAGGGGAGAGACCAGGGGAGAGACCAGGTGAGAGACCAGGTGAGAGACCAGGGGAGAGACCAGGGGAGAGACCAGGTGAGAGACCAGGGGAGAGACCAGGTGAGAGACCAGGGGAGAGACCAGGGGAGAGACCAGGTGAGAGACCAGGGGAGAGACCAGGTGAGAGACCAGGTGAGAGACCAGGTGAGAGACCAGGGGAGAGACCAGGGGAGAGACCAGGTGAGAGACCAGGTGAGAGACCAGGGGAGAGACCAGGTGAGAGACCAGGGGAGAGACCAGGGGAGAGACCAGGGGAGAGACCAGGTGAGAGACCAGGTGAGAGACCAGGGGAGAGACCAGGGGAGAGACCAGGTGAGAGACCAGGGGAGAGACCAGGGGAGAGACCAGGTGAGAGACCAGGGGAGAGACCAGGGGAGAGACCAGGGGAGAGACCAGGGGAGAGACCAGGGGAGAGACCAGGGGAGAGACCAGGTGAGAGACCAGGTGAGAGACCAGGGGAGAGACCAGGGGAGAGACCAGGTGAGAGACCAGGGGAGAGACCAGGTGAGAGACCAGGGGAGAGACCAGGGGAGAGACCAGGGGAGAGACCAGGCGAGAGACCAGGTGAGAGACCAGGGGAGAGACCAGGGGAGAGACCAGGGGAGAGACCAGGGGAGAGATCAGGGGAGAGACAAGGGGAGGCAGGACCAGGGGAGACAGGACCAGGGGAGACAGGACCAGGGGAGCAAGGACCAGGGGAGACAGGACCAGGGGAGACAGGACCAGGGGAGACAGGACCAGGGGAGCAAGGACCAGGGGAGCAAGGACCAGGGGAGCAAGGACCAGGGGAGACAGGACCAGGGGAGACAGGACCAGGGGAGACAGGACCAGGGGAGACAGGACCAGGGGAGACAGGACCAGGGGAGACAGGACCAGGGGAGCAAGGACCAGGGGAGACAGGACCAGGGGAGACAGGACCAGGGGAGACAGGACCAGGGGAGACAGGACCAGGGGAGACAGGACCAGGGGAGACAGGACCAGGGCAGGTTGAGAAGCTAGTAAACAGATCTTGTGTTTCTAATGTGGTGAAAGTGTAAAACAGCCGGAACAATCAGTTGTGTCCCTAGGGTGCTGTGGCGAGGGCGGGGTCCTTAGGGTGCTGTGGCAGGGCGGGCGGGGTCCTTAGGGCGGGGTGGGGTCCTTTGGGTGCTGTGTGGAGCAGGGTGGGGTCCTTTGGGTGCTGTGGCGAGGGCGGGGTGGGGTCCTTTGGGTGCTGTGGCGAGGGCGGGGTAGGGTCCTTAGGGTGCTGTGTGGAGCAGGGTGGGGTCCTTTGGGTGCTGTGGCGAGGGCGGGGTAGGGTCCTTAGGGTGCTGTGTGGAGCAGGGTGGGGTCCTTTGGGTGCTGTGGCGAGGGCGGGGTGGGGTCCTTAGGGTGCTGTGTGGAGCAGGGTGGGGTCCTTTGGGTGCTGTGGCGAGGGCGGGGTGGGGTCCTTTGGGCGGGGTGGGGTCCTTTGGGTGCTGTGTGGAGCGGGGTGAGGTCCTCAGGGTGCTGTGGCGAGGGCGGGTGAGGTCCTTAGGGTGCTGTGGCGAGGGCGGGGTAGGGTCCTTAGGGTGCTGAGTTGGGGTGGGGCGGGGTCCCTAGGGCGCGGTGGTGATTGCGTTCAGGTCTTTCATGAGGCCCTCCAGGTGGGCCATCTCCTCCGTCAGCTCGTCGGGTTCGTAGCTCTGCGGGAGAGGCACAGGAGGGGGGGCGTTACTGCGCGAGGCGGAGGAGGGCGTCAGGGAGGCCAGGACCTGCAGGAGAGCCAGGGGGGAAGAGGGGGAGAGGGGGAGAGGGGGGAGAGCAAGCCCAGGTCAGTCAGGTTAGGAGGGCAGGGGGAGGGGCTGATGCTGAGGCAAAGACTGCAGCTGATGTCCTGTACCTGTGATACCTGGACCTGGGGTAAGTCTGGGGTAGACCTGAGGCTGGATTATGGCGTTAATAATCTGGTTTATCGACGCCTCTTTATGCTGCCTTTACCTTTTTACTCTAACGACTTCTCTGCACCTGGAGCCAAAGAGATTCCTAGTTTGTGACCTCCTGTGACCTCCTGTGACCTCCTGTGACCTCCTGTGACCTCCTGTAACCTACGATGGCAATAAAAAACATCTGGTTCTGGACCGGGTCTTGCTTTTTTATTAACCAAAAAATATAGAGAAGTATAGAGTTGTTCTATACTTTATATTAACCTCATTCTTCTGTTCTTTAACTGGTAATACAACACTGACATTTCCCTTGCACTTTACAGCTTCCGAACTAAAGACCTGCTGAGCTTTGGAGACCAGACCAGGCCAAGTCCAGAATTATGATCACATGGTCAGACAGTGGCCCCGACTTGGCCCCGACTTAGCCCCGACTTAGTCCCGACTTAGTCCCGACTTAGTCCCGACTTAGTCCCGACTTAGTCCCGACTTAGTCCCGACTTAGTCCCGACTTAGTCCCGACTTAGTCCCGACTTAGTCCCGACTTAGTCCCGACTTAGTCCCGACTTAGCCCCGACTTAGCCCCGACTTAGCCCCGACTTAGCCCCGACTTAGCCCCGACTTATCCCCGACCTATGTGTTTTATAACCTCATTCTAGCTCATACATTTAGCTCGTTTGCTAGCACTGCCCTTGTCACCCTAGAAATAAAACGCTTCCCATTGAAAGTCCACGTCTTTGCAGCAGGAACAGCCCCTTACTGTATGAATGAAATGAGAATGGGTCAAAGAAACTGAAGCCAAAAGAAAAAAGCAGCCGGAAAAACATCCAGAAAAGCATTCCAAATAAACGAAACAAAAAAGCAACAAAATCATTCCAGGTGTTTTTGAAAAGTTATTGATTAAAAGACAAACATGCGCCGACAGAAGCGACAGAAGCAGACGGAAAAGAGGAGAAACAGAGAGACAGAGTTAACGGCGGCGTCCGGACGGTTCCTGTGAGCGTGAGGTCAGAGGAGCACGTCGATGTTCAGGAAGACGTGTCCGAGACTCACACTGTCCACGTCCTCCAACATCCGGCTGGTCTCCGGGACGTCCGGGGCGTTGGGCACCGTCACGATCATCGGGGTCCGCGTCCGGCCCAGGGTCCCGATGGAGGCCGTCTTCACCACGTGGGGGTGGCTGGGAGCGCCTGGGGGGGCAGGGGGAGGCCGTCAGGAGAAGTGTAAACGAAAAGGTGCACTTTCATTAAAGTCATTTTAAGTCAAGTTTTTAAGTGTGTGTCCTGGGTCTACAGCCCCAGTCCTGGGTCTACAGCCTCAGTCCTGGGTCTACAGCCTCAGTCGTGGGTCTACAGCCTCAGTCCTGGGTCTACAGCCTCAGTCCTGGGTCTACAGCCTCAGTCCTGGGTCTACAGTCTCAGTCCTGGGTCTACAGTCTCAGTCCTGGGTCTACAACCTCAGTCCTGGGTCTACAACCTCAGTCCTGGGTCTACAGCCTCAGTCCTGGGTCTACAGCCTCAGTCCTGGGTCTACAGCCTCAGTCCTGGGTCTACAGCCTCAGTCGTGGGTCTACAGCCTCAGTCCTGGGTCTACAGCCTCAGTCCTGGGTCTACAGCCTCAGTCCTGGGTCTACAGTCTCAGTCCTGGGTCTACAGTCTCAGTCCTGGGTCTACAACCTCAGTCCTGGGTCTACAACCTCAGTCCTGGGTCTACAGCCTCAGTCCTGGGTCTACAGCCTCAGTCCTGGGTCTACAGCCTCAGTCCTGGGTCTACAGCCTCAGTCGTGGGTCTACAGCCTCAGTCCTGGGTCTACAGCCTCAGTCCTGGGTCTACAGTCTCAGTCCTGGGTCTACAGTCTCAGTCCTGGGTCTACAACCTCAGTCCTGGGTCTACAACCTCAGTCCTGGGTCTACAGCCTCAGTCCTGGGTCTACAGCCTCAGTCCTGGGTCTACAGCCTCAGTCCTGGGTCTACAGTCTCAGTCCTGGGTCTACAGCCTCAGTCCTGGGTCTACAGCCCCAGTCCTGGGTCTACAGCCTCAGTCCTGGGTCTACAGCCTCAGTCCTGGGTCTACAGCCTCAGTCCTGGGTCTACAGCCTCAGTCCTGGGTCTACAGCCTCAGTCCTGGGTCTACAGCCTCAGTCCTGGGTCTACAGCCCCAGTCCTGGGTCTACAGCCTCAGTCCTGGGTCTACAGCCTCAGTCCTGGGTCTACAGCCTCAGTCCTGGGTCTACAGCCTCAGTCCTGGGTCTACAGCCTCAGTCCTGGGTCTACAGCCTCAGTCCTGGGTCTACAGCCTCAGTCCTGGGTCTACAGCCTCAGTCCTGGGTCTACAGCCTCAGTCCTGGGTCTACAGCCTCAGTCCTGGGTCTACAGCCTCAGTCCTGGGTCCACAGCCTCAGTCCTGGGTCTACAGCCTCAGTCCTGGGTCTACAGCCTCAGTCCTGGGTCTACAGCCTCAGTCCTGGGTCTACAGCCTCAGTCCTGGGTCTACAGTCTCAGTCCTGGGTCTACAGCCTCAGTCCTGGGTCTACAGCCTCAGTCCTGGGTCTACAGCCTCAGTCCTGGGTCTACAGCCTCAGTCCTGGGTCTACAGCCTCAGTCCTGGGTCTACAGCCTCAGTCCTGGGTCTACAGCCTCAGTCCTGGGTCTACAGCCACAGTCCTGGGTCTACAGTCTCAGTCCTGGGTCTATACAGCCTCAGTCCTGGGTCTACAGCCTCAGTCCTGGGTCTACAGCCTCAGTCCTGGGTCTACAGCCTCAGTCCTGGGTCTACAACCTCAGTCCTGGGTCTACAGCCTCAGTCCTGGGTCTACAGCCTCAGTCCTGGGTCTACAGCCTCAGTCCTGGGTCTACAGCCTCAGTCGTGGGTCTACAGCCTCAGTCCTGGGTCTACAGCCTCAGTCCTGGGTCTACAGTCTCAGTCCTGGGTCTACAGTCTCAGTCCTGGGTCTACAGCCTCAGTCCTGGGTCTACAACCTCAGTCCTGGGTCTACAGCCTCAGTCCTGGGTCTACAGCCTCAGTCCTGGGTCTACAGCCTCAGTCCTGGGTCTACAGCCTCAGTCCTGGGTCTACAGCCTCAGTCCTGGGTCTACAGCCCCAGTCCTGGGTCTACAGCCTCAGTCCTGGGTCTACAGCCTCAGTCCTGGGTCTACAGCCTCAGTCCTGGGTCTACAGCCTCAGTCCTGGGTCTACAGCCTCAGTCCTGGGTCTACAGCCTCAGTCCTGGGTCTACAGCCCCAGTCCTGGGTCTACAGCCTCAGTCCTGGGTCTACAGCCTCAGTCCTGGGTCTACAGCCTCAGTCCTGGGTCTACAGCCTCAGTCCTGGGTCTACAGCCTCAGTCCTGGGTCTACAGCCTCAGTCCTGGGTCTACAGCCTCAGTCCTGGGTCTACAGCCTCAGTCCTGGGTCTACAGCCTCAGTCCTGGGTCTACAGCCTCAGTCCTGGGTCTACAGCCTCAGTCCTGGGTCTACAGCCTCAGTCCTGGGTCTACAGCCTCAGTCCTGGGTCTACAGCCTCAGTCCTGGGTCTACAGCCTCAGTCCTGGATCTACAGCCACAACACATTCAGCACTTTACAGTACCTTTACCAACATACAGCAGTTTACCAACAGACAGCTGTAGAATAGTTATAATGACTGCTAAATGTTTACAGTTTTAAAACAGTCATAATGGCTGCTAAATGTTTACAGCTTTAAAACAGTCATAATGACTGCTGAATGTTTACAGTTTTAAAACAGTCATAATGGCTGCTAAATGTTTACAGTTTTAAAACAGTCATAATGGCTGCTAAATGTTTACAGCTTTAAAACAGTCATAATGACTGCTGAATGTTTACAGCTTTAAAACAGTCATAATGACTGCTGAATGTTTACAGTTTTAAAACAGTCATAATGACTGCTAAATGTTTACAGTTTTAAAACAGTCATAATGACTGCTAAATGTTTACAGCTTTAAAACAGTCATAATGACTGCTGAATGTTTACAGTTTTAAAACAGTCATAATGACTGCTGAATGTTTACAGTTTTAAAACAGTCATAATGGCTGCTAAATGTTTACAGTTTTAAAACAGTCATAATGGCTGCTGAATGTTTACAGCTTTAAAACAGTCATAATGGCTGCTAAATGTGTGCAGTTTTAAAACAGTCATAATGGCTGCTAAATGTGTGCAGTTTTAAAACAGTCATAATGGCTGCTAAATGTTTACAGTTTTAAAACAGTCATAATGGCTGCTAAATGTGTACAGTTTTAAAACAGTCATAATGGCTGCTAAATGTTTACAGTTTTAAAACAGTCATAATGGCTGCTGAATGTTTACAGTTTTAAAACAGTCATAATGGCTGCTAAATGTTTACAGTTTTAAAACAGTCATAATGGCTGCTAAATGTTTACAGTTTTAAAACAGTCATAATGGCTGCTAAATGTTTACAGCTTTAAAACAGTCATAATGGCTGCTAAATGTTTACAGCTTTAAAACAGTCATAATGGCTGCTAAATGTTTACAGCTTTAAAACAGTCATAATGGCTGCTAAATGTTTACAGTTTTAAAACAGTCATAATGGCTGCTGAATGTTTACAGTTTTAAAACAGTCATAATGGCTGCTGAATGTTTACAGTTTTAAAACAGTCATAATGGCTTCTAAATGTTTACAGCTTTAAAACAGTCATAATGGCTGCTAAATGTTTACAGTTTTAAAACAGTCATAATGGCTGCTAAATGTTTACAGCTTTAAAACAGTCATAATGACTGCTGAATGTTTACAGTTTTAAAACAGTCATAATGGCTGCTAAATGTTTACAGTTTTAAAACAGTCATAATGGCTGCTAAATGTTTACAGCTTTAAAACAGTCATAATGGCTGCTGAATGTTTACAGCTTTAAAACAGTCATAATGGCTGCTGAATGTTTACAGTTTTAAAACAGTCATAATGGCTGCTAAATGTTTACAGCTTTAAAACAGTCATAATGGCTGCTGAATGTTTACAGCTTTAAAACAGTCATAATGGCTGCTGAATGTTTACAGCTTTAAAACAGTCATAATGGCTGCTGAATGTTTACAGTTTTAAAACAGTCATAATGGCTTCTAAATGTTTACAGTTTTAAAACAGTCATAATGGCTGCTAAATGTTTACAGTTTTAAAACAGTCATAATGGCTGCTGAATGTTTACAGCTTTAAAACAGTCATAATGACTGCTGAAGGTTCAGTTTTAAAACATTTTTAATAATTTAAGGACAAATTGTATTTCAATTGGTTAGGTATTTCTCTGAAACAAGATCAGGCCTGTCGCAAGGGGGGTGCGAGGCCCTGTGCGAACTTGAAACGCGAGGCCCTGCCCTGACACCTTTTTCCCAGATCTCAGGAAAGTTTTTCATGTTATAATATTTGACATGAATTCAGCACCGCCTCGCGCTGTGCGTGAAGAGATCAGCACGCGCGCAGACGTGTGTCCTCGCTCCAATGCAGCGTCGCACGCACACACGCACGCACCCACACACAAACTGTTACCGCGCTTGGCATTGGTATATTGGTCGCGGTCTTTTTAGCTGACATGGCTCTTTCGTCCTGTGGCAAAATGGCAGCAACTCAAAAGATTGAACCAAAAGGAGTCTTCTTCTTTTTCTAATTGTTAGATTACGGCAAAATGCGCCAAAATGGCTATGAGGCGGAGTCAATATTTGTTATTTTTTTCCTCATCAAATAACGTTTTTGCCACAACATACGCTCCTTCTCCTGCTCCTCCTCCTCCACACTCTGACCACATTTTTATGCCCAAAATCCACTGCACTCACAGTAGCATGAACGTTGGACATACAGTGTTTGCTAATGCTTTTATAATATGTTTTTGATGTGGATATTCGGGCTCAACATTGACAATAACAGCGCTCACACACCTGTTTCGCAGCTCCTCCTCTTCCTCCTCTGGTCACACTCCTCTCTCCTCCTCCTCATACGGAAGACGCGAGTATCCATCTCTCCGTACACTGGGCTCATTCCCGTTACTTTCTTCACTCAGACACTGCTAAAGTTATCTGACAGCTCCGTAAAGGACCCGCTGCGTAGATAGCTGCCCTCGCGCCTGCCTGTTTACAAATCGCTTTTGGTGAAAATTTGACTTCACTTGTAATAATGTACTTTTGAACAAAAGAAATCAGAGGTCCAGAGAAAGGGGATTAGGGGTCCGAATTTGGAGCGCAGTCCGCCCTTTGGGGACTCTTGAACTAGTATATTTATTTAATAAAAAAAATAAAAAAAGGAAGGATTGCGAGGCCCTGTGTGGTGCGAGGCCCTGTGCGACGGCACAGGTCGCACAGCCCTTCCGACGGGCCTGGACAAGATATATCAGTGTCTTAAGTCCATCCATCCATCCATTTTCTTCCCCTTAATCCCTTTCTGGGTCAGGGGGTGGCAGTCAGAGCTGCACCCAGTACACTTAGCACCAGCCCCTCACTGACCCTCCTGCAGGTAGTGAGTCCACAGGAGCCTTGAATATTCAGCAGGGTCTTCTGGCAAAAGTGGGGTTAAGTGTTTTGCCCAAGGACACAACGACAGCAGTCATCAGTGGGAGTCGTAAAGTAGGTCTTGTGGTGGGCTCGTACCCATGACCTTCAGGCTCAAAGGCCAATGCTCTTCCAACTGAGCTACAGTCACAATATGTAATAATCACACAGGTGGGAAATTCAGTTTAGTTAGGAAATTATATCAATGAAATACAAACATTCGGAAAAAAAAAAAAAACTTTTGTCGTTATTTCAAAAATGATTAATCTTATATTTTTGGTCTTTAGAATTTAATATAAACCAATTATGATTTGGAGTTTTGTATCGTTCGTTGTAAATGTGGACTTTATGAAAGCAGCATGAGGCTCCTCAGGCTGGCACAGGCACAGGCACAGGCACAGGCACAGGCACAGGCACAGGCACAGGCACAGGCACAGGCACAGGCACAGGCACAGGCACAGGCACAGGCACAGGCACAGGCACAGGCACAGGCACAGGCACAGGCACAGGCACAGGCACAGGCACAGGCACAGGCACAGGCACAGGCACAGGCACAGGCACAGGCACAGGCAGGCCCGTCCCAAGGGGGGTGCGAGGCCCTGTGCGAACTCGAAACGCGAGGCCCTGCCCTGACACTTTTTTCCCAGATCTGAGGAAAGTTTTTCCTGTTATAATCTTTGACATGAATTCAGCACCACCTCGCGCGGTGCTTGACGAGATCAGCACGCGTGTAACCGAGTGTCTTCGCTCCTATGCAGCGTTTGGCGCGCGCACGTACACACGCACACACACTCTACGTGCAATATTGGTCGCGGTCTTTTTAGCTGACATGTCTCTTTCGTCCTGTGGCAAAATGGTAGAGCAACTCAAAAGATTGAACCAAAAGGAGTCTTTTTCTTCTAATAGTTAGATTTTGGCAAAATGCGCCAAAATGGCTATGAGGCGGAGTCAATATTATTTTTTTCTCATCAAATAACGTTTTTGCCATGCCTCCACACACTGACAACATACACTCCTCCTCCTCCACACTGACAACAACAAAATACTCTTCACCTCCTCCTCCACACACTCTGACCACAACAAAAACACTCCAGCTAGCTAAAGCTAGACATACAGTGTGTTTGCTAATGCTTTTAAAAATATGTTTTTGATGTGGATATTCGGACTAAACATTGGCAATAGCAGCGCTCACACACCTGTCACACCGCTGATCCTCCTCCTCCTCCTCTGCTCACACAAAGGGGTCTGCTCCTCTGCTCACACCTGTCTCACTGCTCCTCCTCCGCGAGTATCCATCTCTCCTACACTGCGATCATTCCCGTTACTTTCTTTGTATCTCACTCAGACACTGCTAAAGTTATCTGACAGTTTTTTCGGAGGACCCGTTGCATACATAGCTGCCCGCGCGCCTGCCTGTTTACAAATCGCTTTTGGTGAAAATTTGACTTTACTTGTAAAAATGTTCTTTTGATCAAACGAAAATCAAAGAGGTCCAGAGAAAGGGGTTTAGGGTTCCAAATTTGGAGTGCAGTCTGCCCTTTGGGGACCCTTGAACTAGTGTATTTATAAAATAAAATAAAAGGAAGGAAGATTGCGAGGCCCCTGTGTGGTGCGAGGCCCTGTGCGACGGCACAGGTCGCACAGCCCTTAGGACGGGCCTGGGCACAGGCACAGGCACAGGCACAGGCACAGGCACAGGCACAGGCACAGGCACAGGCACAGGCACAGGCACAGGCACAGGCACAGGCACAGGCACAGGCACAGGCACAGGCACAGGCACAGGCACAGGCACAGGCACAGGCACAGGCACAGGCACAGGCACAGGCACAGGCACAGGCACAGGCACAGGCACAGGCACAGGCACAGGCACAGGCACAGCTAAACAGTCTGATTTTGAGCACTACGGTGAGTACATGTTTCTCCTCTTCTACAATCTTTTTTGTATATGAATTGTGTCACAACATCTTTAAAGTATGTTCAAAGCTTTATTGTGACGGAATATATTCAATGTGTCAGTCTAAAATAGTATGCAAGATAATTGGACCGCTTTCTCGGACATGATGACAGCGTTTGCTCCCCTGTCTATAAATTGAGAAATCGCAAAAAAGACAACCAAATGGGACTGTGACCTAATACTATTGAAAGCTTGAGTGACGAAACCCTGTTGGAACACTTTTTGGTCTGAAGTTTCGCTTAAGGTGAGGAAAAACGGCATTTTAATTGAGGCGCGGGAAAAAGTCAAGAAGCTTTTATATTTCCCGACGGCAAAATGGAAAGAAACTGTGAAGTACAGAAGCCAACGGGGGAGATATCCACACAAGAAATGGAAACCAGTGAGAACAAGGTTCAGGGTGCTGTAAATGTCAACGAGAACAGTCCAGCCCTGAACGCAGCCAGGGCTGGACTGGGACAAAAAAACGGCCCGGGCATTTTTTCCTTTTTAGCGGCCCAGGCAACTCAAAAGGTTCAAGGAGCCCTATTTGACAAAAAAACTAAAAACAACATCTGTCTGGAGCCGCAAAATAAAAAACAACAAACAGCGTTGTATAAGGCTCATATGAAGGTAACAGGAGCTGAAGCTACATTAGCTACATTAGCTACCTTAACTACACTAGCTATATTAGCTACATTAGCTATTTAGCCTAATATCTAAATGACAAAGTAAAGGCGACAAACGCAGTGGCGGCTGGTGGAATTTTCTACTGGGGGGGCTATGAATATGATGACTAGATATATACCAGCAGTAAGTTTACACTGACTGTTGTGACTGAAGCCTCACACGAGAATCGCAGGGCAAGTTCAAATGCACCACAGAATTTGACACAGTCTATTATTTTTGATAGGATGTGCCTATTCTTGTCAACCTCCTCATTGTGCTTTCTGATCCCTACCCTGTAGCTTTCATCCAGCTGGGATGAAATATTTATCTTCCCAAACATAGCTAATTTGAGGGTATTTTGCATGTGGATACCAGTCTGCTCATGCTTCTTTGCCTTTTCTAAAAAGTGCTTCAGATCAGTCATACCTGTCTTGATCCATGCTGGGTCAGATCCTGATGTTTGAAACAAGAGGCATGGAAAGCAAAATAAAGCATTAGCCTCGCTACATGCTGCTAGCCAAGATTTGGCGCTGAACCAGGTCCTGGACTGCTGACTAATGGTAATATTTGGCTGATCAGGTCCAAGCTCTTTAACCTCAACCTTCTCCTGGTATGATCTTCTCTCAAACGGTATTGTTTTGAGTGATCTAACTGAATTATTCTTTTTCTCGTTCTCCATTTTGCGTCTCTTTACGTTCGTCTCAAACTCCCACAGCTTGACCTGTCAATCACTGTAAACGGACGTCACAGACAGTGACAGTACAGGTCGCGGGCGATCCCGCCCCCTCAGGGCGCACTTCTCCTGCGCCCCCAAATCGTCTTATCTCTTGCATTGAAGAGGAGCTACTGCGCATGTCCAACTTTTAACGAGAGTCCATAGACGCCTCAGGGCGCAATCTTTTGCGCCCTGAGGCGGAAATACGTCCTCAGTCCGACACAGACAACGCTGATGAGCTTAATCAATCCAACTCAGCATAAACTATAAAGTATTTCTTCCACATCTGAAATAAAACACACATACATTTCGAAATATTTTAATGTTATTATTTTTTTTAACGTTTTATTCAAGGTAACATGGCAAGTTGTGAGTGGTGGGGCGGCGCCCTAGCGCCCTCTATTGGCCGGCCGCCACTGGACAAACGCATAAAAACCATTCATGATTATCAAATGTGTATTTTCATTGCAGCGTGTCCTGGAGAGAATGACGCACCACTTGACAACTCTGCTTTAAGTTTAACCTTCATGCAATTGTAAATACAGAAATAAATCTGCTTTTTGGCTCCGAGTTCACCTGCATCACTGTCTGTTCATATCGATCACGTCACAGGCTGAAGTTTGCTGGAGCTGAATGTCCTTAATGGCCTTTTCTTTCACCGTCTTTGCGAAGATATTTGAAGTCTGAAAATAGGTGCTCTGACTTTATGATGAATGAATCTTTCAGTGAACAGTGTTTAACGCTTCATTGTTCCTCCTGTTGCAACAAAACCTTTCATTACATCGCAAACATGAAGCAGTCCTTCCTCATTGACTGAAAGCAAATGTTCATTCTCATTCTTAGTCCAGTCTTATCGACTCTCTCTCTTTATCTTTGGGATCCATGCGCACACACAGTTAAAATTGAATATTACTTATACAAGTTTTTGCAGCATTGAAAAACGTTAAGAATGTTTTTCCTCCTACAGAAACCACATTCAAACTAGAAATAAAATATAGCCCTCACACTTCATTTTCAGACATTTTTGAAAAGGCTCCAGGAGCCACTTTAGGGGCACTAAAGGTTGCTGACCCCTGGTTTATACAGTATGTGGAAGCAAATAGAGGATCAGGATGTGTGCAGTTTCAACAATAAAATA